CTTTACACAATTGATGTATGTATGGATTGTGATAAGAGTTGTATGAGCCCCTAATAAAACGATTGAAAAAATAAATTAATCAATTAAATAAATAAAATAAAGTAAAAATAAATAAAACACAAGCCTCTCAAATTGATCTCCCTCATTCACATGTAAAAGAAAGGATTAATAAAAAAGAAAACATCTGCACAGTAGCTTCAACACAAAATGCACAAAAGCGACTTTAAACACTGCACACTTCACATATATGCAAAAGTCCATTTCTCTATCTGGAAAAACAGGTAGGTGCACAGGAGGATGTTGCACAAAGCATCATCATCCATCAAGGTGAGAACCACAACTGGGAACCACTGTGCTACGCAACACAAAATCACTATTACCATCTCAACTAAAAGTAAACCTCTACTTTGCTTGAGCAGAGTTTCCATCCCCTCACATGGACAACAATGAGGATTAAAAAAAGAGCTCTGAGAGTCAACTCTGAGCAGCTAGCAATGTGGGGAAGCCTGAAACTAACTGGGATGTGTCTTCTTAAGGCCCTGGAAGTGAAACTCTAGGAGCTTGTGAATAAAGAATGCTGTCGCTGTGGTTGTTCACTGCTTTGGAATCAATGCCCAACCTTTAAGAATGCATGCTTCACTTTTCAAATGAAACGACAGTCCTGTTGGTGTATGGGAGTGGCACCCAACAGAGCTACATTTAGCTCCTTGTTTCCACGCCAGTGTGCTGGGGACTGCGCCTCTAACAACATGCTGCTGTGCACATGCTTGCAAGACAAAGTTCTGGGAATGCTGACAGATGACAATTACCTCAGAAATATTCAAATATTTTTGACAACAAAATTAGAAAACGTCACTGACTTCAACATCTGACCTCCCGCAGAAGGCAAACAAATGAACGAGGCTACCTTCCCTAGCAGCAGGGACTGGAGTCAATCAGCGGTTGCTCTGTGACTAAGCTCTGGCCATGGGCGTAAGTCAGAGGATAGTGCCACAATTTTCCAGAAAGAACTGGCATGCCTTCTTAGACCCTCTTCACTTTTCTCATGTGCTCCATTATCTCCTGCACCGCACCATGAAGATGGAAGAGGTGGGAGCTGAAAGAAGCCGGAATCCCTGAAGACTTGGTCAAGCTCCCACTTTTAAGTGAGAGACAATTTTATCCCATATGAGGCCATAATAGTTGGGCTTTACTGCTACCTACTTTCAGCTAAATGAATGCTAGTGAAAACATGCAATTGGTACCTAAGAAAACATTTTTTGTATTTCTTAAACACTTTCCAGTATAGACCAGTTGATGATATAGGTAGCCATTACCTTCTTGATGATGGGTATAACAATTTCAGAGAACTCCTGGAATCTGTCCTCCTTGGTGGCTTTCAGGATGTCAGCTGCACAACGGATTGCCACAATCTTGTATTTTATATTCTCTTTACAACACTCCTTCAACACAGCTTGGAGAATCTCATTTGTGGTGGGCTGATTGGGCACAGACTTTTCCAGCTCTGCACTAGAGGATCCACACAAAAGCAGTGCTACAATTAACAAAGGCGACAGCATTCAGGTTGTTTCAGACATGGCATCTCCTGTGAAAGAGCACTTACCTGCAAGCTGTCACCACACAGCCAATGGCTTTCAACAGTTCCTCCTAAAGGAATGAAAGATTAGAGAACAGTATTAATTAATCCAACGTGTCTCATCTACCTTCTCTTTGACTATTACCTCAGAAAAATACAAATATTTTGGACAACAAAAATGAACAGGTGTTATTGTTTAGGATGCATGTTTACAGTGTTTTACTTCCAACCATGCAATAAAGATAAATATCTTCCATCTCCATTTCATAAAGCCCTTGAGAACCGACACACCCGAGGTCACGCAGGCAGAACTATAGCCATAGGACTAGAAGCAAGTCTGGCACAAGCCCACTACTTCTTCTACAATACCACAGGGTTTACTGACCTCTATAACATAAAATAGTTCATGTTGAAAAAAACTCATAATTCCTACTGAATATTCACTCTAAGTACCCTACTAGAGCCCTTGTATGAACAATGACTGTCACTACTTTCCAGGCACAGTGCTGGGCTTTCACAGCTCCAGGAGTAGAAGCTGCTTGCCTTGCTACTCAATTTCATTTATACCCAAACCAGTTATGTTCATGAGGTCGCCAAGTACAAAATAAAGGTCATTTGGTTTCAGATTTAAACATGATATATAAAATTCAATCTCAAGCAATAGTGTACATTATTTAGGCATACAAGCAGTTACATGCACACTTTGACAAAACATATCAAACAGGCAAAGTTTAATGAAAGTTTCTGACTGCTAGGAAACCTGGTTCACAACATCAAACCATGGTAAGCCCCAGAAAAATTAGAGTCTTATTTTTATTAAAAAATGAAAGATGAAGTCATAATCCTTTAAGGATACCTTTCAATTTAACTGGGCATGAATGGGTCCTTTACCTTTCCTGCCCATGTTCTTCCAGCCAGGCCTTGCAGTAATGCGCTTAGTATCATTCCCAGATACGGGGGGACTAGAGAGGTTGTTTGTTTTGCAATCGATGCCATGGCAACTGCACCCTGGGCTTTCATTTTCCAGGACTGGGACTGTAAAGCCTTCTGGGTAATTGTAATCAACTCTTGCAGGTATAGCCGAATGCCACCAAATGAACCTAGGTTAGGAAAAGCAAAATTAATACAACTGCTGAGATTTTCCAAAACGGTCAACTTTTTCTTTCTAAGTAACTGTCATTCTAAAGCAATGACTCTTAATTGTTACATCTAGGACATCCTCAAAGGCAGAGAAAGGAGATGATATTGTCACTGATCTTTACAACAGTGGGACTAAAGAGAAACAGTTATGTCCACAGGAGGATGTTGCACAAAGCACCACCATCCATATCAAGGTGGAAATCACTGTGCCAGGCAACATAAAATCACTAATGCAATCTCAACTAAAAGTAAACCTATGCTTTGGGCAGAGTTTCCATCCCTTTACCTGGGCAGCAGTGAGGATTACAAGAAGAGCTCTAAGAGCTAACTTTGAGCACTTAGCAATGTCTGAAACTAAATGGGATGTGCCCTCTTAAGGCCCTGGAAGTGAAACCATAGGAGCTTGTGAATAAAGAATATTGTTGTTGGTTGCTGTACAATTAGCTCCAAATCATGGCAAGCCCATGCGTAGCGGGACAGGACGATGGTGACTGATTTTCAGAAGTAGACTGCCAGGCCTACCTTCCTATCTAAGTGTGGAAGCTCCACTACAATCTGTTCAGCATGACAGCAGCAGGTAAGTCTCCACTAACAGATGGGGAGGTGGGGGGGGGGGGAGAGGCTATGCTAGAAGTAGACCAATAACTGAACCAGGCTCCCTTATATGGAAGGCATCACTGAACCACCACTGCTGCTGAAAAAAGAACACTAGTAAGAAATCCCAGCTGTGGGTTAAGAAACCGGTTTCCTTCCTAGACACTATTTGCTCACCTGGTACATTTTCTTGCCATACTTCAGTCCATAAGTTACATTCTTCTTGTTCTGATTTTTCATCAGCAGCAATTTCATGCATGCCTAGAAATGCCAAAGGCAGAACTTCTTTTGCATGGTTCTTCAACACATCAGGGCCATACCTTCCAATAGCATGAATAGTCAGAGCACAAGAGGTCTTATAGACGGGTTCTAAGAGAACAGAAGAAATAAAAATCCATATTCAAATCTTGACGATTTAAAGAGTGACATGTCTGAGTAGACTATTACTTAACGGCAGCAAACTACCAAAATAAAATGAGAGCAGTTTCTGGTACACACATGACATCACAGAGGACACTGTGAACCAGGAACGTGCTGCTTGACCCGTAGAGATTTGGGGTTTGTCAGCCCCTACAACTGTGGAAACCCGATCCAGGAATGGGGGCCTTGCCAGTCCACACAAATTACATAAGCCATTTCCTAGAGCCAAATCTCTCTACATTTAACAGCCTTGAAAACTCACAGGGGCAGTTCTACCTTGTCCTATAGGGTCGCTATGAGACAGTGTCCACTCAGTGGCTGTGTCTGGTCTTTTGTTTTCATTTGTTTGCTTCTCTTTGAGAACCCCGTCTAAGAGAGGGTACAACCTGATATATATTGTTTTGTAGACAATATGCTCTAGAAAGGCACTGAAAAAAGAGGAAGACCATGAAGGAGATCGAGTGACACAGTGGCTGCAACAATTGGTGTGAGCATAGGACCAACTGTGACGATGGTGCAGGACAGGGCAGTGTTTCATTCGGTTGTGCATACGGTTGCTATGGGTCAGAACCAACTCTATGGTACCTAACATCACTATAGACTAAAATCTGAAATTAAGTAACATAAAATATGAGTGAAAGGTACCTTCTTTCTCCATATACCAGCCACTGAGTTTCTGCAGAAGTTTTTCAGTGCTGCTATCCCGTGAGGTCTGAAAAAGTAACAATTCTAGTGACTTCTTCATAATTATCAATGAGTTTTACTAACTATATAACAAATTCAGCTCACCCGAACTAGATGGCCCATGGCAAATGCACAAGATTTCTGAATGACACTGTTCCGATCTGTCAGGCCACTAAGCAACGCACTCATAAGTTTACCTATCAGGAATAAAAAAAAAAAAAGGCCTGATAGTTGAGTGACCAAATATTTGGTACTGTTCCCAGGAGCGAATCCCATGTAATCACGTCACATCTGATCTACACCAACCACAGCAGTTTAGGAATCGTTAGTGTTAAGTTTGTGCTATCCCTTGCTTCCTTTCACCTGAGACAAAATGAAGCGTTAATCTATTCCTAGAAAACAATGTGGAAAGGAGACCTAGGTACATCATATTCATCAGCTCCATCCAAGAGCTTATCTAAGAAGAGAAAAATGCAGAGTGAAAGTTAGTTACGCATCATAAATGGCTTCTATGCGATGGCAGCTACTTTGACCTCCTAATGCCACTAAGAAGTAAACGAACACTCACAAAACAGCAAAAAGCTGACTAATCTGATAATCCCTACCGTCTGCAAAGATAACAATGAGAGTGGGGGCAGGCGGAGGTAAAATAGTGAACATGCAGCATCATAAGTATATCTGAATGATATTTTTTCCTTTAAAATCTTATCTCTCTTTTATACACACAAACCTTGTCACACAAGACAAATCCATGCAAAAACATCAGCACACATGGTTCTGACAAACTCACCTGAGTAAGGTGTTAGGTCCTGGGGACACTGAGTAGTTAGTGACACAATGACACTGGCACAGCCTCCCTACAGGGTTACAAAGGCAAAGGTCTAAATTGACAGTCACAGTGCTCGACCTAGTAAACCCTTACTAGGAGTACACGAAGCCTAATAATTCCTCTGGGCTTCCATCTCGAAGAGGGAAGCCCGCACTTTAAATTAGCAATATAAAGATTTTTCTCTGTCCCATATATCCAGTATGAAGATAGGTACCCTAATACATTGCAAGAAAGAAAGAAAATTGATACAATCTCTTGGGATGGTAACACATCACCTAGTACACTCTTGTTCTAATTCGTTATAGAAATGGAATCAAAGAAAATAGGCTGTGCTATTTCCAAAGATACGTATCACAGTGCTTTCATATAAAATAACTGGGAAAATCTGGGTGTGTCCATGATGGATTAAAACAGATCATCTTACATACATACCTTAGAGAGAGAGAGAGAGAGTGTGTGTGTGTGTGTGTGTGTAATATAGTACAGGTTCCCAAACTACTCCTTTACAGAAAAAAATTACTTGGTACCATGGCAGCTAAAAAACTTTGTACAATAGACCACAATCCAAGATAAAGTGTGGGCTTTTGCTTTTGCAGCCCTCCTAGATCATTGCAGCACGCCTCAGGGGATGTGATCACCTACTTCGGTAAGCACTTGCACTAAAGGATCATATGGCTATTAGAGGACCTGCACAGAAGAGACTAGAAGGAAATATTCTAAAATACTAATAGCAATTATCTCTGGGTAGTAAATATATGGCAATCAGCAATTTCTAACTTTCTTCTGATCTACAAATGCTAAAACATTTTAAATACAAACAAGTACTAATATATAATGTGAAAAAAATGTGAGCTATTTGTTTTTAAAAAGGGATAATCCTATATAAATTTTTAATAAAAAAAGAGAAGTGTCTTGGAAAGCACTTTTCTATCTAGACACCTGCTGATCCCTATGGAAAAACACTAATCACCACCAGAAAATCTGTGCCCTGAAAGAGAACTGCCATTCGCTGACACGGACCCCGGGCCTGGAGACGCGACGCCATGTGCTTGTACATGGCTACTAGAGAACAGGGTCCACCGAAAAAGCAAAATAATATTCACTGGACAAGTTATGTTTTATTTCCTGAATAAGTGTTTTAATTTATTAGTGCAACCATCAAAACAAATGGTTAATAAGGTTAAAAGGAAAAGCATAAATTTCAAAATGATGACTAGTATATAT